TACTGACCAAATGATTGACTGACCAATCAATCGGGTGGCTAGTTTGCTGACTGGCTGTCTGACTAACCTAACCAAGAATCGACTGTTAGTAGAACAGAATGACAAACCGAATGATTGACTGAATAACCAGCAGACCAGTTGGCTGACTGATTGACTCACTGACTTGGAGGTTTAATCAATGGTCTGTTGAAAGCTTTGTTTACTGTACTTGTGTTGCAGTATTTGTTTTTGTTTTGAATAATCTTGGACCAAAGAGTTTATTTGTACCTTGCTTTGGTATAATTTTTCTTCACCAGAGCCTGTTCCAGGTCCTGGGTCATACAATCCTCATGTGTATCGCACAAGTTCTAAGCGCTGTGCCCCAGCCTTCACAATGTCAAGGACACCCAGAGAGATTGGAATCACTCAAAACTGTACCTTTTGAGGGAAAGAATGTCTGAATGATTTCGTGGACACTGCTGGATCAACAGCACCTTTCCTCTTCAAGGGACGCTACTTTTTCACCACCAAGACATCGTTCATTTGGCATTCAGCAAGTTAAAGGCTTGGCTTTTGATATAAGACGTGGGGTCGCTGTACATTTGTTGTTGATGCAGTGTGCCTTGTGTTTCAGTATCTCAATCTCTATATTCTTGAATAATCATGATATTGGCCTGACAATCCATATCATGTGAAAAAAATTCAGTGTGTTGTCAGCTTTTCTCGACCATTTTAATACAGAAATTATATTTTCATAGGTGTGTGCAGAGTGTATTTAAAATTTTTCATGGGTAATTATACTCAAAACGGGTGTCAAATACAGATTATTAACGTGCAATGGAGGCTAATAAATTTTATAACTAATTTTGTACAGAATTTGAATGATTAGACGCTTTTTAAAAACATAATTTTGAGATAAAGATAACAAACGATAAGAAGTCGAATTTCTTACTTGTTAAACTACAGTGATTCAAGTCTTGAGTGTTTATTTAAAATGATACTGACTTGTGTATCTGCATTCTTTATTTAAATGCGTCAGATTTTCCGATGATTCCCGAATGTATCTCGACCACTTCGTTTATTTCCGGAAATCGAATTACAGCTTCTAAAAGGTGGTAAATTTAACTAAAGTATGTGTTTTACAACTTCTTCTTCAAAAAAGATGGTTGTAAAAAGGACAATATTTGTGCATTTACTAAATGTGAAAGACAAATATTACTTTAGTCATGTACAAAACAAATTGTACAGATCAATCATCGTTATTTCCACAGCTTTTCTGCAAAGGCTCATTGATCTTCATCGAAAAATAGAATGAGAAAAATTCAAAAAGACGGGCAGTTTTTTTTCTCCTTTGCTTTCCTTTTTTTTTCACTCGCGAGCTGTTGCTTGGTGTAACACCAACGCTTTGTCTTTAGATTCTTCATGTATTGTGCTTCGCGGCTTTTCTGGAGATTAAAAAAAAAGGTCCCGGTTCCTTCCCTTGCTATCTGATAACAGTTTTCTAAGCTAAGCTGCTGTCGATGCACTTATGGGTCAAAAAGTATCGACCTTTTCTAGCTATCTCAGTAAGCTTTTAAGGACGTTGAGGTCTCCCTGATCAAGAAGTTTCCTTTCTTCTTGCAGATGGACATTCCCAAGGGTCGAATTAAAGAGGTGTCACAAATAGACGGTTCCTTTTGGCATATTGTAATTAAAAAAAAATCTAAAAAAAATCGATCATCCGTGGAAATGTTATTTTCCAGTTGTTAGGTTCAACCAACCGTAATAATTTTATTATCGCCACATATGCCAGTTTTGTAGACCTTTGAAAACGTCAACCCAATTCTTAACTTTAAAGAACTTTTAAAACTTTAAAAACGTGTTTGAGTGTAATGAGCGTTCGCCGAGTGCTAAGCATCCCAAACGCATTCTGTGCTGTTTTCTAGCAATATCCATTGTTCAGTGAAGTGCAACTGTGTTGTCGGTTTTCATTTTTTACCGTTAAAAGTCAACCGTCACACTGATGCCATTTAAACAATAGTTAATAATTAAATTATAAGTCGCAGCAGGCAATTTCCAGCTGATTTTAGCGAAACATTATTCGTCCCTCATAAAAGCCTTGTCCTAAAGGATGCAGACGCAGACGTATACGAAAGTTGGGGAAATCGATTTATGTTTATCACATGGTAGCCGACAAGCTTTCCGATGGCCACAGACAAACAATCGAATATCGAAATCCGTTAATCTGTGTTAAGTGACGCGTAAAGCAAACCCACGCGAAAATATCAACACATAACAAGTCAACAAAGACGCTCAGACCGAGAAAACTTTCCGATTCCTTACGTGCTTGCCACGGACTTAAAAAAAAACCGTAAGTTAATTAAATTGATTTTTCTGAATCATTCGTCATTCGAAACTGGCAATCGTGATTGTTCGGTATCTGATACACCCTCAGGTCGCAAAAGGTCAAGTCAGATAACATACATTTGCGTCCATAAAACTACGCGCTCCAAATTTGAATACCGCCTGCAAACATAGTCGAGATCACAACTTAATTGCTATCGTACTTCCGTTACAGAGCTAGGGAAAAGTATCCAATTTTCCCTCCAACTCGACAACGGTACATGAAGATCTGGACTCAATAATGGGTTGATATGGATGAGCAGAGTCGATCGCTTGAGCCGGTAACATTTTAAAGATATTTGGGTATAATTTGACGACCGTTAGCCGTAGAACTAAGAAGCCAGCAATCCGCCGTGAGCCCAAGATAGATGTGGATGCCAGCTGTATTTTATTGTGGAGAATGACAGCTACCTTCGTTTGGAAAGAGTCACGTTTAATAATTTAGGTAAGTTGTTGAATATAAATAATACATTTTGCAATTATTAAAACTTATTGTGTGATATGTACTGCTTTGTACGTGAAGTTGAGTTTGTAATGACGTTATCAGTCACAAATGGATATTGGCATTGCACCAGTGAGATGCTAGAATGTGGACTAAAAATCCAAAGAAAACTTTGAGTTGCCAAAGGACTGAGGAGAGTACTACACGATAAAAGGAATAGGCTTCAAATGTTTAAACTGTTTTTCATATCTTATTTAAAAATTTAGTTGACCTACTAAACAATTCGTGGCGTCCGGAGCGGTTTCTAGAGGACTTCGTTATGGGTGACGAATTTTTACATTATCAATGATTATCTCTCTGCGTAGTGGGTGAAAATTTTTGTTAATCATCCACGAAGATAAGAGCTGGATCAGATAAGTTGTTTTCCCACAATGAGGAGAAAAGTTTCAAAGCGGAACCACATTGCAGCTTATCACCTCTTGAGTGCCTTCCATATTTCCCCTAGATCAATCTTAGTCCAACCCCATATTTTAAATATTCACGTCTAAGTCTTCCTGTTTTTTTTCTTCCCGCGGCTCTTTTCTCGGCCAAAAATATGGGGAGATGTTTATGCACGCCACAATTTTTCACCGGTTATTATAGCTTTTAGCAAAATAAATTTTAGCCAGAGCAATTTAACAGGCGAAGTCTTACAACTGCGCAATATTTAATCCAATCATCCTGTCGGCTTGAGAGCCTTACCCGTGATAACTTCTCTTAAAAATCCCTGAGTATAAATCAGCCTTTCAAGACCTAAATATTGACCTTCATTTTCGTGATCCCGCTTTGGGCGTCAGAGATTTCACCTCTGGAATTTAAAGGCAATGTCAGAAATGTCACACAGTTCGTTGCTTAAATAAATTTTGGTATTACTTTGAGGTCACTACTACCCCATTCGAAACTACTTTTTTATGCTGAAAGGCCTTCAACATAAGGTTTCTGCGTCATGTGGACATTTAAGAGTCAATATTATTTTTAGTCTTGAAACGAAACCCGCGCTAAAAGCGGATGGTGTACAATTCCACCATTGGGTAATTACTAGTGATGATAAACTCTGTAGACATGAACCGGAAATAGCGCATACTTTGAACGTGGTTGTGCAATTAGTTATCCCCTCAAACAAATTATCGTTAATGAGATTAAAATGTATGTTAAGGAACGGTGGGTAAGAATGCATTGGAAACAAGTAACATAGTTAGCGAAAATAAATAGAAAAAGAGACGGCCATTTTGGTGTGTGATTACCTTGCAGAGCCACTTTAAGACGTAAAGTTTTGGGCTTACAGGAGTACTATCTTAGTAAAACTTAACTGCGCGTGTGAATATCCTCCCCCCCCTCCCGCAAACGCAGCTTACACCAAAGGGTATGAACTTATGAACTTACTGTTGAAGAGAAATAGCAACTCAGACATAAGCTTTGAAGATTCTATTTCTTCAGTCTTATCAGGATCTTATATTAGGTTCTTTTTCTTGAGGTCCTCAATGGGGTTTTTAGGCGTAGAAATTGACAAATTTTAATCGTTAGTCGTAAAAAAAAGTTAACCGAAAAATCTATTTCCGGTGGAAACAATGGAAAGATGTTAACTGTTAGTCGTAAATTGGCCAAAATTTTAACCGCTAGCCATCACCCCAGTAAGACCCCCTTTCTTTAGAGCTGTTGTTTTTTTAACATAATACGAGGCTCGGAGTATTTCCTTAACTACATGAAATAACTGATGTGTTACGTGCCCTATCATTGGTCGAAAAACTATTTTTTGGATTGTACGGGAAAATCAACGGAAAACTTGTCGTACTTTTTATTAGTTATTCAGCGTTATAACACTCTTGAGATGTTGAGAGAACGCTCGCACACTAAACCCTTTACACCCTAAAATCAGTATGCATATTCTTCATAATGCTCTATATACATTTCCTAAGGTGCTGACAAGGAGAATTTGTTTACCAATCAAAAGCTTCTTTCATTGGTGATTACTTCCTTTATTCTCATGACCTTAACGTATGATTCAGGGCTGATATTGTAGGGAGAACTTTGATGCTAGTCACTCTTAGGGTTTAAGGGTTAACTCGTTTGCTGCTAACATCCCACGTGGGCTATTTCGTCAGTAGACCAATAGGATAAATCAAAGCTTTATGTAAAGTATGTAAGTGTAAACTATTCTTAATTTTGTTTAATATAGTTATTGCAATAGAAAAAAAAACTTGCGAGAGGAAATTTTCAACGATGTTCATAGCATCATGGATCATAGCCTATGTACTTGTTGGTGTGCTGCTGGTAATAACGCTTGTCTACGTCGGATTTCTGGCTTTCAAAGCTTACAGCATCCGGCAAGACATAAAGCGCGCTCATAGTTATCGGTATATCTTGAGGACGCCTTCGGAAGACTTCGAAATTTCTTCGGCTACCGATGGATCCCCGAGTCCTAAGCTTTTGGAAGCTTCAGTCAGACCACCAACTCAGCCTCCTTACTTTGGTAAGAATTCATGAGAAACAGGTCAGATTTTCAGGGTGCGTTTTCGAATCGTATTCATATAAACGAGTGTAAGGGCGGGTTTTTGACTATCGAATACACGTCTTACACGTTTTGCAGGTCCGAAATGGGAAGGGTAAAATGTCTTTGTGAGATCTAAAATAGGGTCGTGGCTTCAAGAAACATGCCGCACGCTTCTACGAGTATCCAAAGGGGGAAGGAAGTTAGGCACTTTTGAATTCCAACAATAAAGTCGAGTGTCTTCTTCAAACACTGCCTGTGAATAACCTTTTTATTTTTCTTTCTTCATTTTCCAGTTGGTGATGTGCAGACGGTTCACATTCAGCCCCGTCTCGTTAGGCGCTCCCCCACGGATTTCACACCATCCGCCAGTCCTGCAACTCCACTGACGCCAAAGTCGCCCGGAACTCCGGGTTTCTTCGATGACTTGGGAACCCTGGATCCCAGTCTTTACACAATGGTAGCGGAGGTAAGCCATTTTGTCACCCCTCCCTCCCCCTCCCCCCTTCTTCTGCCTAATTTTTCATGAGAATCATTCTTGTTGATTTCTTAGAGTTTACATTTTCCGCAAGAGAAGTAGTAAACGAAATAAAAAACCTAAATTAGGAGATAGTGATGCAAAGGAGTTTGACGAAGTATCTTGTAGAGTATAAAGCGTTATTTACACCTGAGTGGAAAAAGCCGTCTAAACGAAAGTCTAAGCCTAAAACTTTGCGACATGATGTTTGTCCTTCGTTATTTCTACAAAGGATGCACTTTGAAAAGCTATATTAACAAGCTACCTAACTGGATCGTTTTTACTTTCCCTCAGGAAAGTGGATGCTCTACTTCCGAATCTGGATCCCCTTTAACTCACAATCTTGGCCAGGCTCATTTCAAAGTCAATTTCGATCAGCATCGTTCAATCCTGTCAGTAAAGCTCGTGAAAGCCATGAACCTGTCACCGCTCGGAAAGGACTGGAGCAAGCCATGTAATCCTTACGTCATAGTGCAACTGCTTCCTGATTACAGACATCAACTGCAGTCTACTGTGCACAAAAAGACTACCAACCCTCGTTTTGACGAGACGTTTGAATTTGAGGTAAAGGTTCTCGTAAATTACACGCATTTGGTATTCATTTCAGATTTTCAGTCCGCACGTCATCGGATCGGCATAACCTTAGCTTTGTCGTTCAGTTCGAGACAATAGGGAGTTTTAGATCTACGTTTGTTTCTGAATACGCATGACCGCAAACGTCTAGGAGTCACGTGAACAGACGCCAGCGGTCACGTTCGCCGTTTGCCGTCCAAGCGTGAACTTCGGGCAAGGCAGTTTCAGGTACTTCAACACTTTCGGCGCTTTTTTCCTCACTGTTCGAAAGTTCTCACGCATTTCCCATAAATATATGTGAGTTAAAGTCTTTTCTTTATAAGTAGTCCGTTTGAGACGCTAGGAAAGCAATCTTTTAGCCACATTTTGTGTTTGAAAGGAAGGAACTCTATCCTTTGTGTGATTCAAGATTGTGGCGCACATGTTAATTTTTTTCAGATGAAAGCCGACGTCGACCTAAAAAGCTGAAAGTCTCGAAACTTCTAACTCCTAACCACAAACTGCTGACCGCGGTTTGACGTTGACGGTGAACACACCAAACGTGGATCTAAAACTCTCTAATATCCTCTTCACGCTTGATTTGAAGCAGCGAGTGAAGACCTAAACCTTCGTGCTCGTGCGTCTCTTCCTTCGCGTATTTGTCTCAGTGAGCGTTCTCTACAGCTAACACCATCAATTTTTCATGTATCATTCATTGACCCGCGAGCAGGCTTCGGCTTGAGCGTTTTTTCGCCTGCAGTAAAGTAGGAGGCCTTGCAACGCTAGCTGGCAGGACACTAAGGTGGCTTCCAGCAGACCCCTTCCCGACTCGTTTTTAATAGGGACCTTTAGCAGTTAGGACGGCAACGCCAAAGAAGACGTCGATTTAAAATAAATAAATATTTTTAGTTGGAATTTCGCGACTGACTGGGTTTGTTTACCATCTCTTACGGCACCGCAAGTTAACCTCAACATAACGTATGAGGGCGGCGTTGAGTTCCAAATAGAAGCTTAATTAATTTGCCGTCGGGGTTACGTAAATTTTGATGATTTCATGTTGTTATTTGCAGAGGACGGCTAAGAAATGTACCTGTTTTAGAACGCACATGCTGAGCTATTGTTCTGCTCATTAGATCTTTTGTTTTGCCACGTCCTTGTTGCCGTCGCCATCTCGGTTTGCTATAGGTCCCTAATATTTCCGTACGCGGAGAAACGTGCGTCCTGCAGCACTAATAATGACGGCTTACTGACGGGCTAATCATTTGGTAGTATTGTGAGCCAATGACATCATGGCAAAACTGACCCATCAGGCACATAACACTCAACTAACAAACACATACCGAATGATTCTGATGATAAGTTCCGCTCAGGTAATCGACATGTCAGCCTTACTGCTTACGACAGTCTTTTTCAGCACCACTCTCTCTCAACAATGAGAACTCACTATCAACTGTTATTCCCGGGGCATGGGCTTAACTCATTTACTGTAGTATCATTTCCTTTACTATCGTTAAACAGTTGTTTTTACTTTGATTCTTTTCTTGAAAAATGTAGTTGTCTTATAAGGAACTCCAGTTGCAAACCCTATGGCTGACGTTCCTCTCGTTTGACACGTCTTCCCGTCACGAGGTGATTGGCCAAGTATTGTTGCCGCTGGCTGATTTATCACTCTCTCAAGACAACACATATCGAACTGATATTAGACCGAGTCTTAAGGTAAAAAGTTCTTTTCTAGGATTAAGTAGCTTAAAAGAGCGCAAATCATGAACTTCATAGCTATCATAACGACTTAAGAGAACAAAGATAGACAAAGATGAATATGATAGGGCACTAATGAGGACTCAAAGTTGAATATAAAGGTATGCATCTTGCCTCTAACTCAGGAAAACTCGAATGACCCAGTTGTTTTATCTGATTGGTTGAGATGATGGCGCGAGTTTTTGAAACCAATCTCTTAGCATGTCATGAAAACCAGCGCAATCTGGCCCGGGTCGATCACTATTGACAATCGATTGAATTCGCGTAATAGAGTAACTGGTTGTCCGTAGCACTCCGAATTCATTTTATTGGTTGTAACTCGTCAAACAAGGACATTATCTATGCTACTTCTTTTTTTCTGGGTATCTATGTTACTAAGAAAAACAGTCTTTTGGCTTTGATATCGAAGGAAGTTGTTGATGTCACTGTAAACGGAATCTCTGTTATCACGTCTCTCTCAAACAAATATATGCAATGTACGTCTATTCCTTATAGCTATCCATCAAGACTTCTCAAAAAAAGATATAATTGTTGTTTGTATAATTTTCTTCTGCGATAGAAACAAGTAGCGTTAGGGGAACTGATGGTCTCTCTTGGTTACCTCAAGTCCGCGGAGAGGTTGACTGTTGTCGTCATTAAGGCTCGCAATCTACCAGCGGTTAATATTAAGGGAACAGGTTGGTTGTACACGTGATTGGACATATCCTTATGTTGAATTACTTTTGTATTGTTCTTTGTTTATCATCCTCAAATTTCTTTGCAGTTCTCTTTTAAATTCAAGCTTCGTTCTCTTCCAGAAAAACCGAGTAAAATCCAGCATTAGAGCAGACACACTCTCTGTGGTCATTCTTTCTAACGTTCTCAATCTTTGTTTTTTTCACGCAGATCCCTATGTTAAAGTCTATCTGCTAATGGCAGGAAAACGGGTAAAAAAGAAGAAAACGACCGTTAGGAAAGGAACATTGAACCCTGTGTTCAACGAAGCCGTATCGTTCGACATATCAGTAGACGCCATGAACTCTGTGGACCTACTGCTGTCTGTTATGCATGAAAACGAGGTTATCGGTTGCGTGTCACTCGGTGCCCACGCCACCGGAAAAGAACTCGGACACTGGCGGGAGGTACGCACTGCCAACAAACCTGTCGCACACTGGCACGTGTTACAAGACCCAAAAAAGTTTTATTAGGAAAATTTAAGTCTTGAAATGGATGAACTGAGAAGGAAGAGACAGAGAACTCATAAGAGGCATTTCAGGCTTGTAGTGAAGTCTATTTCAAATGATGAGATTCGTTGCGACGAAAAATTTCACGTAGGATGTCGGCACAGTTAATCTAACTTGTGGCAGAGTATGTGAACGGGGAATGGGAAGGATTCAGCTACAAACCTTGAGGAGGAGGAGGAGAAGGATTGGGTCTATTTTCACTCATTCCCATTCCTCCGCCTGGCGCCTTCCCACAGCCGTAATGAAGACCCCTTAGCTGCGAAGTTGAGTGGGTGAGGCATTTCAGTCCTGTGTAGAAGCGTCGCCGATTGCAAAGACAATCTCATAACTTTTTTGAAACTGAGAAACCTTTGTTAAATGAAACAAATCTTGAAATAAGATGTATAATTTTTTAAATTCCCATTTTAATGATAACCGTAACTAATTTCTGACTGATACCTTTTTACAGAGCATATTCTCTCTTTTTAAGGTTGAGATAAAATAACGTGCTTGTTTCTTTTCTTTTTAATATTATCTTATATGTTGAATCATAAAATCGAATTGTAAGATAGGTCATCGCTTAAATTTCTTTTCCTTAATAAAATAACAGTTAATAGAGAATGTATTCAACGAATAAGTAAAAATCGTGGACGTTCTTTACAGACAACCCCATGATCACAATTGGGGCTCGTCTTGGAAAATTTGTCCCAAATTTTTAAGCTGAGTTTGTCAATTGTAATCGTTTTTAATTTTCTTCACCCCAACTATTCCTGTTCCTTCTTGGCATACATCTTTAAAAACACTTTGATTTGTTTCTTGTAATGTTTGGTTTCTTTTGAGTTCAGTGTACTTTTTCATATCACAAAGAGGTACGTAACAGTTAACTCCTCCTTACTGTATGTATGTATGTATGTATGAATTATCACACAAGTGACGAGAAAAGACAAATGCATCCGTCGATGGGCACTATTTTGATATTTCATCAAAGACTCCTAACTAAGATATAAGAGGCTATATAACAACTTGGCGATAGAATTTCTAATCAAACCTTGAAAAGAAAAGGGAGTTAACGTGGAGTGAGCTGCTGGCCGCAGTGTAACAGATTCATATGTTATAGTGTCCTTCTTCCACTTCTGAATTCTAGACTACGAGCAGTCCTTCCTTTTCAGTGAAGTCCGTCGCGCGAGTTCGAAAAAAGTTCGTGGTCCAGAGTCCCACGTGGCGCACTACCCCGCACCATTTGTCTTTTTGTTGATATTTTTGGACTCGCGCGACGGACTTCGCTTTAAGGGAAGGAATGCCCCTCGTAGTCCATCTGGATTCTAGCATAAAGTTTCTTTTTTCCGCTCGATCCGAAACGTTCGCGAGGCAACAAGATCACATTCAGTAAATCAGATCAAGTCGGCGATTTTTCCTTCTGCTTGTCGCATCTTGATCGCCTTATAACGCCATTGTTGTTTCTCTGATCATGTGTTCTTCGTTGTACCTCCAAATTGCGATACGTTATGTACAACGGATTCGATAGAAAGAAACCAAAGCCTAACCCAACAACAACAGACATAAAGAGCCAAACGTTGAAAGTGTTCACCACAAGCATCAACAAGTAACCTGTTACGGCTGACAGAAGATAAGAACTTGTCCTCAGGAGGTGATCAAGTATCCTGGAAGAACAAATGAAGTTTATTGGGTTAAAAAGGCTCGATCAGAGGCCGCTGGTCGGGATAAGCCCGCGTTCCACCCTCTACACCACACCAAACCACAACCTCGAAGCTTCCTGGAAGACTGGGTTTAAGAAAATGGTGGAATGCGAGCCTAGAATTGCATATACCAGAAGAGAATCTCCCTAAGGTGTGGAATGAATATTCTCATAAATACCATGATCTTAGTGCTCCCCACTATTTCCGAATATTCCATTGTGGAAGAGGTCAAACGAAAGAACACTTGTAAGTTCATGTCAACTCCTACAGCGATAAGCAAATTATTTATTGTTTTTAACTTTGATGCTGGCTCAAAGCACTAGAAAAAGGCTCCAATTTCGAACCATGACCATGTTTTTTCACAAAAACTGACCGAGTCATGACAGATATCTATGTATTTTCGTATTACTTTGCATTTCACCAACCTCTTGTTTCCTTTGAACTCTTTTGTGGTATTTCCTCTTCCATTAGGTAGGCCGAGGTACCTATGATATGACGACATGAACTCATACAGTACAGCAAGGGAAAACACTGCTATCAATGATCCACCTAACCCTGTGAGACAGAATAATGCATACGTCACTACCAAAATACTTAGATCATTAACCCTTTATACTCCAAGGCCAGTGTCCATATTCTTAATACTCTTCTCCATACATTTCCTTTGGTGCTAGCAAGGAGAATTTGTTAAACAATCAAAGCCTCTTAGGTGGGCAGTGATTTCCTTCATTCTCATGACCTTTACATTTGATTCAAGGGGGATTCTGTAAGAAGAAATTAGGAGCCAATCCCTCTTAGGTTTTAAAGGGTCGAACTTGAATATGTTTTTTTTTAGCTGGAACCAATCTTTGGAACTGCCTATTTTTACTTCAAGTGGTGTTTTACGGGTTTCTTTAGTGTACCAGACCACTGATTTATACGGTTACCTTGATACAGTGCACTTGCCGATGATACTTGGATTTATGGCCACACAAGATCACGTTTCGTTTGATATTCCTCGAACAAATACAAGTTATTCTTACACGTACCGTTTATAGAAGTGACCTTCCACTGCCGCAGAAGCACTTGCATCTCTCCAACAAAATTAAGCGTCATGGTGTAAATCTATAAAAAGGTAGAAAGGAAACTGAAATGGCAACAATGCTCAATGTCCTAACCATCAAGTGATCGCGTTTGATTGGAATGTGAGAAAATGCGCCGTTGGCATGCTCTCAGTACAGTTAATAAGGTAGAAACTGTCAAACATAGTAGATATTGTGGAAACAAAAAAAGTCTTTGGTGGCCTGTAACATAGTCAAATATGGAGGTAACTGGTTGGGCAACCCGACAAATTTCTTTGTTTTAAGATTGTGTTACGCTTTTTAACGCATTCCAATCATTTTGAACCGATTGGCTGTTTAAAACTCTTATTAATTGATTCAGTCACAAAGCGTTATCATAAAATGAAAAGGATTTGTACAGTCAGCGGGCGCCAAAATAAACTTGCTGCACAGCTGTTTTCATCTTAAATTGTTGTCAGCTTTCCTAAGCAGTAACCTCTATTAACTCTGACCTAAATAACTTTACATCACGCTGACATGACTTTGAGTGTCCTATTCTTTCCTTGCACAGATTAGCATTTTCTATAAACCGGATACTTCTTGATTACGCAAATAGTTGATTTCCTTCGTCAATTTCCAAATTATGAACAATTATTTTTGAGGAAACTTGAATTTGAACAGTTAGAGTTAAGTCGTTGTCAACAAATCTGTAAAAATTGGCTTCATACCCTTTTTTTTTTTGCCGTTTCCTTCTCAAGAACATTGTGCGGAATACATCATCGTTGACCTATAGATGACTCGTGGTCCTCACAGTCAAATGAACTTTCTTTAATTTGTACCCAGCTGATGTCTTAAAGGAGAATTGAAACGCCTCAGGTTCAAATCTTATCGAAGTATGAATTACTTTTGGAAGGTCTGACGTTCTGCTAAGATATTCTCTAAGGTTTTTTCCGGGAGGATCAGTCAATCCTAGACACATTACTTCAACGAACAACGTAAATTCATAACAAAAATTCCGCGTAGCCAGTGTTTGCATGTGATTGATGTGCTCCAAACACACGTAATGATGTTATGTTTTGGCGATGGAATACGGCACGGGACGATGATAACTTGCCTTCATGTCACGTTAAGGTATTTCAATTGTTAAGGCGATTATTTCTTGGGTTTTAACCAAAATTTTCAACCGTGCTAAACTAATTTTGATGCTAACTGATAGTTTGAACACGGCAGCGATACAGATGACTAAATCCAACAGATTTAACCAATGATTTTGTCTGTCACTCATCGAAAACTTCCCTGATTTGGCGCAAAGACTGCGCATTCGACTGGAGTGACAGACTGCCCTACTCAATGCGACATAGACGAAATATAAATGAACTCATTTGCTGCACGTCCTAAAGCATTTCTCAGTGCAGAAAGCGTAAGTGCTTTACGTGATCTAATTAAAAGTAATTATTCTGTTGTCTTTCATTTAAAATTAACTTACCGAAATCTTGAGAACTGCGAAATGAGTCGGATTGCAAGACGAGGTGAAAGCACTGGCCCAAAACTGTATCCCGATGGCAGATTCGGGATTTTCTAACAGGATCAACACTACCGTTGTCAACTTGATGGATTTTAAATTACACGGGAGACCACGTGACATTCAGTGAACCCACCCCTGAATGACAGACGAACAAAACGGGCTCTTAAGCGGTCAACGAGAAGATGAATGTTTATTGGTTGCATCGTAACAAAACTCCCAAACGTGTTCCGCCTTGTATAGCATTTAACCCTATGACCGGCAGCCACGAAATATCTTTGTAGGAGGTTAAGTTACCAACTTTGACAACGCACGCACGCATCTTAGTTTAGTAACTTGATTTTGTATCACACTTTAAAAGAAAAAGAGAAAAAATTAACTCCCATTCGAGCATGAAACGACTTCGGCTCCCACTAGAGTGTTGTGAATGATTGTCATTAAAATACCCGTGAGGGATTAAGTACCTCTTCCCACGTCTTCTCAGTGTCCCGAGGACTATGCACGTCTAACGCGTCAAAGGGTAAACAGAGGAAAGAGCTGCCTGAAGGCAGGGTTCGAAATAATTTTTCAGCTTTCAGCATGAATTTGTAGGCTTTTGTCAAGGCTCATTTTTTTCCTCGGCTGTCATTAATAAATTTTAACATCAGAATCTTTTGTTGCGGCAATTCCTTTCCCAACCAAGGGTAGTGAACGGTTCAAGTTGTCGGTGTTTGTTCAAGCGTGAAATATACAACTTTGTCTAGACAAACTGTCGCGCTACTGTCAAGCACCGACTTTAATTTTAACGCGTGAGAAGGCTTTACAAACGACATTAAACAGGATTTGGCGGAAAATAAATCAAAGGTAGTATGTACGTACAGAAACATAAACACAGTAATGTGACGGTGTGTACACAAAATTGCACGTTTCACGCTTGAACAAACAAGTAGAAAGCTGAATACTGCAGACCAAAATACTCCTTGTAGCACGCTTCAAATTTCGAAACTTTATAATCGTTTACGTTTCCAAAGAGCTTTTGAAAACATTTCATGGCTGCTCTATCGCCTGATATGACATGTTCACCATAATATGACAGCGACTTTTCTTCAGTTGGACGATCATAAGCATAATATTTTCTATAAAATTCTAGTTCTTTGGTGAAAAACCGCTGGCAAGTGTGCCAAAAGTTCCGGCTGCCGCCGGTGGCTAGCTCTTAATTTGATCCCTGAGAAGGGTAAACCTATCGTCATGAAGGCCATTAAGATCAATGAAACTGGAGGTTTGTCTCAATTGAAATACGAAGATGTACCAATTCCAGAACCGCAGCACAGCGAGGTAAGGACACGATCCAACTTGGGTGAGTCACCCGTTTGATTTGAGGACATATGCTTTGATAGGATACGATTTTTAGAAGCAGAATTGAAAATGTCATGGTACTGTAAGTCTCACATATTAATTGCTGGATCTATCCCTTTCAAATATTCTTCTCATTAGCAGTAGCATTAACGGTTTGTGCGCTAGGAGCTTCATGGAGTTATTTTACAGCAACAACGATAGCCCTCTCTCAATATATACTAGCCCCTACCAAGTGGGGATTTAATTTAGTAGGGCGAGGGAACCATTAAGGGAGGGGAACCATGAAGGGAGGGTAAGTGTGAGAAGACGAAAGCAAATTTGAAGTGAAAATTTGGCGTAATTTTCTGCATGCTCCTTCCCCCAGAATATTTCTGCACAGTTCCTTACTCTTTCAAAACAAAGGCACAGTCCCCAAATTTAATCCATTGTTTTTTGCCAATGTTTTATTTATCCAAAAATTGTATGCATAATAAAGTACAGGGCTGAGTGGAAATCTTATTTTTCCTCCAGCCGATTGACTGACACAACTTACCTGCCTCTGCTTGACTTTACTAGCTGGCAAATACTCTTATAAAAAATGATTCCTGTTTTGTTGAAAATATTTTACCCAATTACAGTGAGCAATATGCAACTTGCACCTACACTATTGTCTGTGCATTTTAACATAGAGAGCAGAGTTCTCCTTTTCAGGCAGTAGCTAGTAAAATTTGCTATCTCTAGTACCTCTTATTACTGCTAAAAAGCAGTTTGAGCGCTTGAAAAATCATTAAGTAAAAGGATTGTCCTATCCTTTGGAAAATTTCATTTACCTGTTGTGCTTGAAATAGAGAAGAACACTGAGAGCCTTAAACTTGGGATTTATTTACACACTGGTATATTCACCTAGTTATTTCATTATTTTTATACTTTGGTTGGCTTTTTGAGACAATGCTCAATGAATTAGGATACATCACTGTGATGAGTGAATCATTGAAATGTGATGGGACCATTTTCTTACAAAAAAACTTTGTTACTTGAACAATTAAGGCAATCTTTTCAAAAGTTACCTATATGTTTAATGAGTTGTACAAATTATAGAGGTGTCATCCAGTAGCTTAAAGAATTAATGGATAGCTCAGTGCAGCTGCAGCTGGCTAAGGGAATTAGTTGACTAAAAGCACAGTTACAGACATTGTTGATTTTTTTGCAGGTTTTGATTAAGAATCATACAAGTGGTGTAGAGGGTGCAGGGGTTGTAGAGAAGCTAGGACCTGGTGCTGTTGGTGTGACTGTGGATGATCGCGTGGCTTATTTTCATCTTGGTTCAGGTTAGTCTGTTAAAGGCTTTGTGGTAAAATGGCTTGACCATTTATGCACTTGTAACCTAGGTTAACACAGTTTACAATGTACATGAAAATGAGGGCATTCTCATGTAACACGAGTGCAAAGTTGTAACACACCTGTAAATTAGAAATAGGATACACACACTTTCAAAATTTTGTCTGTTTTGATCTCCTGTTATGTTTTTTCATGTACATTATTAACAAGTAATTACATGATTTCTCTCGCAGTGTGGTGGAATATGCAGTTGTAAATTTTTCAAAGACTACAAATTGCACTTGCCCTATGGGCTTGTTAAATTTTTTTTTGCTTGTGCAATTTTGCTTTGTAATATCAAATTGCACTTGAAATCATGTTATTACCTACACTTTGTATACTTGATGTGGAGATCAGCAGGTCAGTCAGAAATGTAGGTAGAGATATGAGGTATAAAGACACAAGTCGCTGGTCTGGAAGCCTGTTATGGAAATTTAGAGGCTTTCAGTGATATTTTTCAAAATCTCATTGAAACACAGTGAGTAATGTAGTCATTTGTTAATGAGGTAAAAAAAAATAGTCGTCTTCTGTTTGAAAGTGTTTTTATACAACAAAGAAATTCAAATCATATTTTTACAGTCAGTTGCTGTTTGCAACTTTCACACACTATTTTTTACTTTACATTAAAAAAGAAAGCAGCACAGAAATCAAAGAAGCCATTTTCTAAGCCAGTAGCCAACATGACGTGAGAACCTTGGACAGGAATATGACGTCAAACTGTAATGCAGATACATTATGAAAGTCATAATTTGTGATTAATTTGTACTCATCCAAATATAATTCTGTTTTAGGAAGTTTTGCAGAATACAGCACTGTTCCAGTGGATAAACTTGTCAAAGTGCCATCAAACATCTCTTTTGAACAAGCTGCAACAACCATGATTCAGGGTATCACTGCTCATTACTTGGTTCACACTGTGTACCTGGTGGAACCTGGTACCAAGGTGTTGGTACATGCAGCTGCTGGGGGAACTGGATCCCTAATATGTCAAGTGGCTAAAAATGCAGGTAACAAAGTAGTTTAATTTGGGTTTTCTTGAGAAACAGTTAGCTAGCATAGAAGAAAAAGACTGCTGACTGCTCCAACAGACCCTGGCTGCTACAGATGCACTTGAATAAAAATGATTCCTTGAAACCTTCAAATGCTGGGCACCCTATATTACAGAGATAACTGGCTTGACACAATGTGTGATTCTTTGTAAAAGTACAGCTTTGAAATATAGTCTTGTTCTGACTTGAGTTATCTAATGGCCTACAGCTCTCCCTGTAGCAATCACTCCCCCTCCAAAGAAATATGTTTACAATAGATCCCAGTTACTTCTTATACTTGTGGGTGGGGAAGACAGATTTGTTCTTGAAGAAATAACTCTATAGCTCTTGAAGATAATTGTACCAAGACCTCTTGAAGTTTGAAACACTACACATTAGGCCACAAAAATTACCACTTTGGATTACATTAACTTAAAAATTCTAACAAGAAGGGTCAGGATTTGTTATAGATTTGTTAAAAAGGAATTTTTTCTTAGGCCTGTTCTCTGTAGTAGGTCTCTGTAGTAGGTGGACTTCTGTAGGTTTCTCTAAAATCAGGCAATCAAGGATGAGCTTGAAAAATGGCCTGAATATTTCTGCAAAAAATAAATTCACTGCTGTGGCACGCTGAGCTGCTAGACATCTCCCTACTATCTTTCAAATACCTGCCAGCTCTTATGCACCACATGTGAGTTTCAGGCCTAGGAATAAATGAAAACATTTTTAGCAGGAAAATGGGATAATGTTTAAGGGAATACAAGCTCTGGAGGTTGTCTTACATTTCTGTAACATCTTGTTTCATCATTAAAGATGATCAGTTTTTTCTTGTCAAAAAAGGCTAGTGCCTCAAACTTCTAAACAAATAACCTTGGATTAATAACAAAGGTTATTCGCTTTCATATTTACGTCTGTGAGCTAAGTTGCAGGAAAACTTGTCAGACCTGATCTTTAAACTCAGATTAGTAGTTCATTCACATCACATGTTTAATAAACTGGAAAGGTAATCTGTGTTTTGCTGTTTGATTGGGTCACCAAGACTTACATTTCTCAGTGGCCTGTTGTGTTTGAATACAGGAGGTTATGTCATTGGTACAACAAGCACAAAAGAAAAAGCTACCAAAGCAAAGGCTTGTGGAGCTGATGAAGTTATTCTGTATTCTAATCAAGACTTTGTCCAAGAAGTCAACAGGATCACGGAAGGTACTGGAGTCAACGTCATTTATGACGGGGTTGGAAAGACAACTTTTTACAAAGGCAAGTTGTGCATCAAATGAGGCTGTGGTCATTGCAGTGAAAACAATGCTAAAGAATTGGTGAAAGTAAAGCCTTAAAAAGAGTTGAGTGCTAATGAGTCTAAATTCCGTGCACGCCAGATTTTTTCCCCTTTACAAGCTTTATTTTCACAACTGCTTTTAGTTTTGTTTGAAGTGCATTGATATTATTAGTTGACAATTTTTTTTCCTGCTTGTTAGAGATGTGGATTTTACATGAATAAAGTATTCCCTTTTATGGACAGAGCTTTCTTGTAGAATACGTGGATCCTTTTAAAAACTTACATCAAAGCATAATTTTGTACAGGTTTTAAATGCCTTGCAACACGAGGTACCATGGTCCTTTTTGGTGGTGCATCTGGTTACCCAGAATCCCTAGAGCTCAATCTTGTTTCATCTGGGTCTCACAGTCTCATTCTTCCAAAGTTATTCGACTACATTGCAACGCCCGAGGAGTTGTCATGGAGAGCTAATGATGTGTTTGATTGGATCACACAAGGAAAGATTAAAATGGATAATTTTACCGTGTTTACACTTTCAGAAGCAAAGAAAGCTTTTGAAATGCTCGAAGGCAAGAAGACAATTGGAAAACTCTTGCTTAAACCTTGAAACTGTCTTTGAAACTATGTGTTCTGAATGTTATTAGCAAGCTTTCGATGTTAGTAGAGCCAGCCAGTCATGTGTTTTTTCAATTGATTCTAGTACATTGATATTTAGATATTTTGTGGTACTCACAAATTGTCATCACCTCCCGAAATGAAATAAATCATAGTGTGGACCTTTAAAATGAGTTTTTTATCCGCTAAATTTTTTTATGTACCCATAGTTTGTTTCTTCATCTCAATCTTAAGATGAAAAAGAAAAACGAAATATTATAGTGATATTACTCGTTGACCCGACTGAGGATACGCCAGATTAAAAGGTTGAAGGGAAAAAAGTAAAAAAAGAGGGAGTGGAGGAGCATTTGCAGAGTGGACCCATGACATTAAGGTGCTCTCTCTTTGCTACTCTCTTTCCTCTTGTGTTCGGTCACGTGGTTGGATAAACAGTTACTGAAAACGAGTGGCTCTGGGACGAGAATGATCAAGTGATTTTACAAGAGAGTTCCCATGAAGACAAAAGCAGTCCCTGCTTTTCTGTGAAGTCCGTCATGCCAGTCACAACTATACGTGTAAAAAAAAGTTGATGTATGCAACTCTGAGAGTGAGGCGCACGAAAATTAGCAAGAGACCAGAGTTCTGCGCGCTTACCAGTCGTTTCGTACCCATGGATCTTTTGTACCCAGACGATTCGTACCCTGGCTCAGACGTTCCGTACCCACTTTCGATCAGTTCGTACCCAACCCTCTGGTCGATTCGTACCCAACAAATTATTACACGAAATGTTTAAAACAAACATAAACACTTATTTCATTTATCCTAGTAATCGCAAAAAAAGCTCATTTCTAATCACAGAAACATTGAAAAGTTATCTTTTAGTTAATACCCTTGAAAAATCGTGACCCAGTTGACCCATCCTAATATATTTTGCCAACTACCACGCAGCGCCTACGACTAAACGTAACTAATTCTACTTAGTAAAAAAACCAATTTCTAAATCAGTAACGTTGAAAAGTTATCTTACTCTTGAACAATCGTGATCTAGTTGCCCTAGCTGACCTATCCTAATATATTTTGCCCATTATCACGGAGCGCCTATACGACTAAACGTACCTATTCTACTTAATAATAAATAAAAATCCTAGTAGTAAATGCAAATAATGTCTAAGTTCAGTTCAGTTAAGTGCATCACTGGCCTGTTTATATTGGTACATCCTTTGAGCAGCTGCCTCAGTGACTTCTCCTTCTTGTTGAAGGCCTCCCAAAGTTCGAAGAGCCGCCTTCGCACTTCACGATAGGTGGACCTCTGCATTCACTTAAGCTTGCGCTCGGGGACTAGACGAATTTGTAGCGACACTAGTCTCGTTACTTTGTGCAGTAGCAAACATGTAGAGGGGCAGACCGCATCGACCAGCGGCTCTTCTGTTCAAGCTACGAAGAAGAAAAATTCTCAGTTCCCATGAGGAATCGAACCTCAGACCTTCGGATTTGCGCTCCGATGCTCTACCACTGAGCCTCAAAGACACTTCGGTGAGCGAGGTCTATTACGAAGTTTTTATAACATGCGTCCTGCATACTGCTAGGATCATTAATGTCGATAGTCGACATCGATTAATATATCGATTAATATATCGATTAATATATCGATTAATATATCGATTAATATATCGATTAATATATCGATTAATTCTTCACCGAGCTCAAAACTTACCATCTCTACTATTTCTATCAAAAACATTACGCTATCGACAAGTGAAAATAATCAACTGAATAGGTTTCTCGATGACTGCGACATCTTTTATAAAAAAATTCGATGAAAATCGTACTACTACGGATCGGCTTCGCTGACTGTCAACTCGGTCGAATTTCCAGTTCGCCGACGTGTTATGAGGGCGAGCACTTATGACCAAAACCATTCAATCAACCAACCCTTTATTGTAATTTTTAATTTTACCGGGAGAGTAAACAAATTTATTAGTCAGGAATGGACCATTTTATCGGTGAAAGGCAGCGAGCTACTGTCTTCCGTTATCATTGTTATGGTTTCAAACTAACTTCCCGGGAAGTTTTTTTTTTTTTTTTTTCGTTCGGTCGCAAACCGCAGTCAAGTCCTCATCACGTACGCGCAACCGTTTAAGTCTGACGCATGCGCGACGTTTTGACTAATGAGCCCATAGGATGGTGTAATGGCGGACGAAGAGGAGCTTTCGCGGCGCAAAATCAGGACAGACATTGTGTATAAGACGCTCAAAACGCATACAAAATATGCTCACATCGTTCGCGGTAGACCCACACTAAAATATGTCGAGCGTTTTCGGAACGGGTCGGTCCGTGAACCTTATGAGATATCTCTTTATGAGCGAACATTTATGAGTGAACCTTTCATCGAGAAGCATGCTCTATCAACTGAGCTATCTAATGTTAATCGAGAGAAGCATAGATGCAAATCTCATCGTGTATGTAGACCTGATCGTGAACCAAGCAGA